TTGTGCATGTTTATGTATATTTGGTGCTACGAGTTTATCTTTATAAATACACAAGGGTTTAGTACAATTACAATAATATATAACTTGCTAGAACTTATTTTCATGTATCAATATGGGGAAACGAATTATTTTTTTTTTGTGAAATTCCGCTTTGCTTCATCAGTAATGGCCACGCTAGTCGAAGTGATTTTTCATTATTATTCAATGAGATAAATCAGTGAGTTCCAGGAAAGAGGGAAACCTATAATTTGTTACTTTAGGTGTCTTCAAATGTAGGTTTACATATGCCAAGGCATGATTTTGAAAATATTCTAATTTATTGTAAGTACCTGGAACGGAGAAATGATAAGGTTTATTGAAATGACAACTCAGTGTGAAATAATTTGATAATCTATGGACCTTAATGAAATTAATTGGTAGTCAAGTCCAAACTAATATATTATATATAGTATCAGTTTTTGTTTACAAAGAAAGAGGGAACATCAACAGTATATAAAATCAGGCTCTAAATTGTACAACAACAGATGGTGAACCTGATATGATTGTGATTTCCTATTTGAATTATTACTTATTATAATTGTAATTCAACATTTAAAAAATGTAATGTTTAAAATTAGTAGTATAGCTTAATCAGTATGACTTACCCCTGTAGTAACAAGAGATGCAGTTATCGGTTGATTGTTTTCAGATTATTATTGATATTCTGTTGTAAATACACACTTCAACAAGGCATAATAATTTCTTCTCTCTCTCCTGTATAAATAAGTGTAGCCCATCGAGTTCACCGTTTGTAAATTAACAACATAACTCACTGGTTCATTTTCTTTCTCATTTGCATGCCTCGAATTGAAATGGCTTGCCTAAGCTTGACTGGTCAAGAACATACGTAAGATAAGTAATAAAGGAAAATAAAATCATTGTAAATGTATCACTTGTACACAATTCATCTCTGTACACATTTATTTGTATTTGTGTATCTCTGTATATGTATATATTTGTGTGTATGTATATATGTATGTATATAGAGACATACTGCATATATATGTGTACATATATATACACACAAGTAGAAAAAAATATGTATGTACATACACACGCATATCTATATATATATACATATATATGTAAATATACATGTGTGTGTATGTGCTTCAAATATAAACACACACACACACACACACACACACACACACGCACACACACATGCACACACACGACACCGATATGCTATATGTCATTCTAACTTTGTTCCGCTGTCTTTCTGAAAACATATTTTTCATTATCATCATTTGAAACTATGATTCGTAAAATAAGGGAGAAGGGAAAGGCCATGTGACGTTTGCCTCCGTGTGTGTAGGAGGAGCAATAGCAATCGGTGTATATAAAGAGCGTCACTTGCTCGTATGATATCAACATTCAGCATGAAGCGTCTGGTGAGTAGTACAAAGCCTTGTGTTTTGTCTTTTTAATCATGAATAACATTCACTATATAAGGTTGATTGGGGACAAATCACTCACTGACGCTCCTTTTCCCAATAGATTTTATTATTGGTGGCTGCTGCATCTGCTGCCCCACAAGGATACAACCTACCCACTCCTTCTGGCCCATCCTTTAACACCGGGGGTTGTGGCGGTGGACAAGTGCGACACGTGGATGGCAGCTGCGTCACACCTCAAGTGAACAGTCGCGTGTTCCTGTATGATGTGCCGCCAAATCAAGCTTCTTCTAGCCGGCCATCCTACGTTCCAAAACCTAAACTGGAACGCAATATTGTTTTCGTGAGACTTCCTGAAGCTGGTCAAGGACCAGAACCCATCGTCGTTCCTCCTCCGAGGCAACAACACGTCTTGTTCGTGCTTAACAAACAGTCGGAACAAGGTCAACAAGTGATCGAGGTGCCAGCGCCACCAGCAGCGGATCCTGAAGTGTTCTTCGTGAACTACGCAGAAGGAGAGAACCCGACTCTTCCTGGTGGAGTAGACCTCCAAACGGCATTGAGTGCTGCTTCTCAAGGTGGCGGTCAAGTCGTAGGAGGTGGTGGCGGTGGAGGTTCTGGTGGCGGCATCGGAGGCGGATTTGGAGGCGGCAGTGGAGGTGGATTTGGAGGCGGCAGTGGAGGTGGATTTGGAGGCGGCAGTGGTGGTGGATTTGGAGGCGGCAGTGGAGGTGGTTTTGGAGGCGGCAGTGGAGGTGGATTTGGAGGCGGCAGTGGAGGTGGATTTGGAGGCGGCAGTGGAGGTGGATTTGGAGGCGGCAGTGGAGGTGGATTTGGAGGCGGCAGTGGAGGTGGATTTGGAGGCGGCAGTGGAGGTGGATTTGGAGGCGGCAGTGGAGGTGGATTTGGAGGTGGAATTGGAGGCGGCAGTGGAGGTGGATCCGGTGGTGGAAGCTACAGTCCTCCAAGTCCCTCCACTGTATACGGTGGACCATAAACGGCAAACACATTTCTTTGATTTAAAATATGTTGATATTAGAAAAACGGAAGAATTAGATTTTGTTACTATTTATCAATAAATACATGAGTATATACAATGAAAACAGATATGTGATTAAATACCTGCTGTTTAGTTATAAATATATTTATTAGTTTTTTTTTTTATTTTCTTTATTAACATTAAACACAAATATCCAGACATTATCATTATCTTTATCATTATTAACATAAGTATTGTAGTTTCTTTTCTGTTGCCAAGTATGAGTATATGAAGACATATATAATTAGATTAGATTAAATACCCACTGTTTGAATGTATATATTATATAATACGTTTTCAGTTTCTTTACATATGCATAACAGAATCGTCACCCTTCTAGTCTAGAAAAGTAAATGAGCAAATTAACATCAGCATGAACACAAACATCGAGACATTATTATTGTTATCAACTTTATCATTATTGTCAACATTAATTTTGTTTCTTGTTTATTGCCGTTTTATCTTTCTGCTTATCAAATTTTATTTAACAAAATCAAATAACCACCTAAAATAAACCTAATCGTTTACTTAACCGATGCTGTTTTGGGAATACGCACGCAGTAAAGGCTAGTAAACACATGCACGCGTGTTTTCTGATCTTATCATGTGACTTATTTCTTATTTCGTATGCAAAAAAGCAATCTACCTGTGATAAAGAAACCAGCAGATTGTTATCATATCTCAAGAAAAGCGGGCGTGCATGAAAAGTATGTCAATTCATGAACATCTTGCAAGAAAACATAATAACGAACATTGGAGACCATTGATGACTCGCTCAGACAGCATGTACATGTCTATGTGCATGTGGAGCTATGGACATATCTTTATAAGTGCAAAGAAATATAATACAAGTAATTACGACAACAGAAAGATTGCTTGAACATGTGCCGGGTATATTTACTACCTTGTGCATTTTCCTGTATTAATATGGGGAAATAGGAATTGTCATTATCTCTTGGTGAAATTCCACTTTGTGGTATCTTTCTACTTTGATTTTAATTATTATTCAATTAGGTAAATGAATGGTTCACAGGAAAGAGGGAAACCTATTTGTTACTAAGGTTGTCTTTAATATTATTAATATTAGTTTACATATGTCAAAGCATGATTCTTTAGATATTCTGATTTTTTTTGTAAGTACTTTGGAACGGAGAAATGATAAGGTTTGTTGAAATGGCAACGCTATGCGAAAATACACTGTGTTTCTTTTCTCAATTTGAATACCAAAATACTTATTCTATGGGTATAGTGATAAAGTTGATAATCTGAGGACCTTAACATTACCAAGAAAATAATTGGTAATCAAATATCTCATACAGTATCAGTTTTTGCTTACAAAGAATGAAGTAACAACTCCTTTATATAAAGTCAGGCTCTAAACTATATTGCAATAAGTGGTAAACCTGACATGCTTATGATTCCCTCTCTATCCTGTTTCAATTAGTGCAGCCAATTGACATCCCCATTTGTAAATTGACATAACTCACTGTTTATTTTTCTTATGTGTATGCCTCGAATGGTCCAGTGGTTAGAGCATCGAACTTGGATTCGTCGGCAAATCCAGGTTCGAGGGTTCGAGTCCTGGCCGGCGCGTTGTTCCCTTGGGCAAGGAGCTTCACCTTGGTTGCCCGATTGTGAATGGCCATATTAATTAAATATGATGAGCTCCTTTGTGAGCCAACGGCCATCCATAGCTGGAGAGGAGATGGACGCCACCAGGTTACTGTCCTATGAAACACAATGATGCACACGCCAAAGACTTCTATGATCAGGACAGGTGGAAGGAGGTGAACGCAGCAAAGTGCCCCTACGGTCATGTGACTATGGGAATAATAATAAAAAAAAAAAAAAAATGCCTCGAACTGAATTGTATTTCCTAAGCTTAACTTTGAAGAACATAATACGTAAGATAATTAATAAAGGAAAAAAGGAGAAATATTGTAAGGGCGTCACTTGCACATCATTCGACTGCGCACACATTTCTTTATATTTATGTATTTATCGTATATATATGAGGCATAACTGCATAAAGATGTACGATATATACCTTCATATATCTCTCTCTATATATGTATGTACGTATGCATGTATATAGAGACATACTGTATTTATATGGGTATGTATATATATATATACATATATAAATAGATAACAAAATACAGGAATAAAGAAAGAAACAAATATATATGTCTACACACAAGATATATGGGTGTATGTATACATACAAACATGTATATAAGTATATATATACATATATATGTATATATATATATATATATACGTGTTCTAATTATAAACACACACACACACACACACACACACACACACGCACACGCACACACACTGCACGCATATACTGTATATCATATTTTAATAAAATATTCTTTATCATTATTTGAAACTATGATTCGTAAAATAAGGGAGAAGGGAAAGGCCTTGTGACGTTTGCCTCTAAGTGTAGGAGGAGCAATAGCAATCAGTATATATAAAGGGCGTCACTTTCTCGCATGATATCGACATTCAGCATGATGCTCCTGGTGAATAGTCCAAAACCTAGTGTTTCGTGTAGTCTTGAGTGTGAATGACATTCAGCATATAAAGTTGATTTGGGACAAATCACTTACTGACGCTCCTTTTTCCTTATAGATTTTATTATTGGTGGCTGCTGTATCCGCTGCCCCACAAGGGTACAACCTACCCACTCCTTCTGGCCCATCCTTTAACGCCGGGGGTTGTGGCGGTGGCCAAGTGCGACACGTGGATGGCAGCTGCGTCACACCTCAAGTGAACAGTCGTGTATTCCTGTATGATGTGCCGCCAAATCAAGCTTCTTCTAGCCGGCCATCCTATGTTCCAAAACCTAAACTGGAACGCAATATTGTTTTCGTGAGACTTCCTGAAGCTGGTCAAGGACCAGAACCCATCGTCGTTCCTCCTCCGAGGCAACAACACGTCTTGTTCGTGCTTAACAAACAGTCAGAACAAGGTCAACAAGTGATCGAGGTGCCAGCGCCACCAGCAGCGGATCCCGAAGTGTTCTTCGTGAACTACGCAGAAGGAGAGAACCCAACTCTCCCTGGTGGAGTAGACCTCCAAACGGCACTGAGTGCTGCTTCTCAAGGTGGCGGTCAAGTCGTAGGAGGTGGTGGCGGTGGAGGATCCGGTGGTGGTATTGGAGGCGGATTTGGAGGTGGCATCGGAGGGGGAATTGGAAGCGGCAGTGGAGGCGGATTTGGAGGTGGATTTGGAGGTGGTATTGGTGGTGGAAGTGGAGGGGGTATCGGAGGCGGGTTTGGAGGTGGCAGTGGAGGTGGATTTGGAGGTGGAATTGGAGGCGGTAGTGGAGGTGGATTTGGAGGTGGAATTGGAGGCGGCAGTGGAGGTGGATTTGGAGGTGGAATTGGAGGCGGGAGTGGAGGTGGATCCGGTGGTGGAAGCTACAGTCCTCCAAGTCCCTCTACTCTCTATAGTGGACCATAAACAGCGAACACATTTCCTTGATTTAAAATATGTTGCAGTTTGATGCTGATACAAAAAAAAAAAAAAAAAAATTGTTACTACTTATCGATAAATAAACAATAAACACGTGATGGAATCCCTGCTATTTAATTATATCATCTATTAGTTTTCTTTTCTTAACATATGTATAAAAGATCCGTGGCCTTTCTGGTCTAAAAACATAAAGTAAAGTAATTATAATACACAAATATCCAGACATTACTTTATCACCATTGTTGTTGCTTCCTGTTTGTCGATATTTTCTCTTTTTGCTTCTTATTACATAAAATTATATTTAGCAAAATCAAATAACAATGTAGAATAGAACTAAAACGTTTTCATAACGTATGCTGTAAAGGCAGGAAAACACACACATGCGCACGCGTTTTTATTTTCTATCTTAGTCTTATCTCTATAGAGCGGCTAGCCATGAGATTAGCTTTATCTTGTTTTCTTCTCCGGGAAAACAATTTGTCTGTGTGCGTGCGTGGCTTGATCTGCATGTAGGTACAGAAGTATTGTATATATATGTATATATATGTATATATATGTATATATATGTATATATATGTATATATATGTATATATATGTATATATATGTATATATATGTATATATATGTATATATATGTATATATATGTATATATATGTATATATATGTATATATATGTATATATATGTATATATATGTATATATATGTATATATATGTATATATATGTATATATATGTATATATATGTATATATATGTATATATATGTATATATATGTATATATATGTATATATATGTATATATATGTATATATATGTATATATATGTATATATATGTATATATATGTATATATATGTATATATATGTATATATATGTATATATATGTATATATATGTATATATATGTATATATATGTATATATATGTATATATATGTATATATATGTATATATATGTATATATATGTATATATATGTATATATATGTATATATATGTATATATATGTATATATATGTATATATATGTATATATATGTATATATATGTATATATATGTATATATATGTATATATATGTATATATATGTATATATATGTATATATATGTATATATATGTATATATATGTATATATATGTATATATATGTATATATATGTATATATATGTATATATATGTATATATATGTATATATATGTATATATATGTATATATATGTATATATATGTATATATATGTATATATATGTATATATATGTATATATATGTATATATATGTATATATATGTATATATATGTATATATATGTATATATATGTATATATATGTATATATATGTATATATATGTATATATATGTATATATATGTATATATATGTATATATATGTATATATATGTATATATATGTATATATATGTATATATATGTATATATATGTATATATATGTATATATATGTATATATATGTATATATATGTATATATATGTATATATATGTATATATATGTATATATATGTATATATATGTATATATATGTATATATATGTATATATATGTATATATATGTATATATATGTATATATATGTATATATATGTATATATATGTATATATATGTATATATATGTATATATATGTATATATATGTATATATATGTATATATATGTATATATATGTATATATATGTATATATATGTATATATATGTATATATATGTATATATATGTATATATATGTATATATATGTATATATATGTATATATATGTATATATATGTATATATATGTATATATATGTATATATATGTATATATATGTATATATATGTATATATATGTATATATATGTATATATATGTATATATATGTATATATATGTATATATATGTATATATATGTATATATATGTATATATATGTATATATATGTATATATATGTATATATATGTATATATATGTATATATATGTATATATATGTATATATATGTATATATATGTATATATATGTATATATATGTATATATATGTATATATATGTATATATATGTATATATATGTATATATATGTATATATATGTATATATATGTATATATACATACGTATATACATGTATAGATATATATGTATATATATGTATATATATGTATATATATGTATATATATGTATATATATGTATATATACATACGTATATACATGTATAGATATATATGTATATATACATACGTATATACATGTATAGATATATATGTATATATATACATACACACATATATGTATATATATACATACACACATATATGTATATATATGTATATATACATACGTATATACATGTATAGATATATATGTATATATATGTATATATACATACGTATATACATGTATAGATATATATGTATATATATGTATATATACATACGTATATACATGTATAGATATATATGTATATATATGTATATATACATACGTATATACATGTATAGATATATATGTATATATATACATACGCACACATATATGTATATATATACATACACACATATATGTATCTATACATACGTATATACATGTATAGATATATATGTATATATATACATACACACATATATGTATATATACATACGTATATACATGTATAGATATATATGTATATATATACATACACACATATATGTATATATACATATATATATATATATATATATATATATATATATATATATATATATATATATATATATATAGATAGATAGATAGATATATATGTATATATATGTATATACATAAATATATATATATATATATATATATATATATATATATATATATATATATATATATATATATATTTTTATCTGTCTTGATATATTGATAAAAGAAACGTGACCGTCCAATCTAGAAAAATAAAACAGTAACTTAAGGAATGTGCATAGACATACAGACATATCCAAACATATTTATCACTGTTATTATTAGCATCGTTGTTGTTACTGTTTCTTATTTGTTGTCGTTTTTTCATTAATCAGATATGTAGCAGAATCATATATAGTTAGAATATCAGTTAAACGTTTGTATGACGTATACTGTCTTGGGAGTACACACACACACACGCATGCGTTCTCCAATCATGGTCAAGTCTATACTGAGTGTCTTGACATTGCTTCATCTTCTTTTCTTCTAGAGAGAGAGCGAAAAAAATATTTGTGATCCAGATGCCAAGTCATCGTCATCATCATATTTCATGAAAGGCGGGCGTGCACGAAAAAAAATGCTATTCACGAACACCTTGCATTACAGGAGAACAGGAAGAAACAACTTGAGAAACCTTTGATGACACGCCTAGTCATTATGTGCATGGTGTATGTGCGTCCGTAGCTATATCTGCATGTGTATATCTGTAAAAGTTTTTTACAACAATAAGTTTACTTGGCATACTCAGATAATTTCCAGGTATTCTAAATAGTTTAACTGGTTTGTTTATTCTTCGTTTACAAATATGGAGTAATATGAATTAGCTTTTAGTGAGAAAGTATTTGTGGTAACGATAATTGGAACACCGGTCATGTTTACCTTATATGATGTTGTCCACTGAAAAAGAAGAAAAACTATATTAGTTATTCTATATATAGATTGATATATACCAGAATATGATTTTCCAAAATGTGATAAAAGAAGGTAAGCGATGAAGACGTGTCAGGTATTCTGAATAGTTTAACTATGTTTTTTTTTTCTTTTCTTTTCTTTTGCCGGTAACGGTATTTGGCCCACCAACCGTATTTACCTTGTTTCTAATTATTAGATTATGCAATTATGCGCTGATAAAATAGGTAAACTATTTTACAGTCATATAGGTATAACAGAATATTTATTTAGTGCGATATAATAAGGTAGGTAATAAAGCTAATTAGAAGGATAAAATATGAAAAAAAACTTGAAATATATTTCTAAATGTGGATATGCGAAGGCTTATGGTCTTATGGTCTATATGATATAAATCCCCGTGTACAACGAAGAAATAAAAAGAACTAAT